AAAGGGCGGACACCAGCAGTGACAGACCTGGGAGACAAATGAATAGAAACGCTACACTAAACGCTACATGGCCAGCGGAAAAGGGCGGACACCACCAGTGACAGCAGCGACAGACCTGGGAGACAAACGCATAGAAATGCTACATGGCCAGCAGAAACCGGCAGACACCAGCAGTGACAGACCTGGGAGACAAATGAATAGAAATGCCACATGGCCAGCGGAAAAGGGCAGACACCAGCAGTGACACAGTGACAGACTTGGGAGACAAGTGAGTAGAAATGCTACATGGCCGGCGGAAAAGGGCGGGCACCAGCAGTGACAGACCTGGGAGACGATTGAATAGAAATGCTACATGGCCAGCGGAAAAGGGCTGACACCACCAGTGACAGACCTGGGAGACAAATGAATAGACATGCTACATGGCCAACAGAAAAGAGCTGACACCAGCAGCGACAGACCTGGAAGACAAATGAATAGAAACGCTACATGGCCAGCGGAAAAGGCCAGTGACAGCGGACACCAGCAGCCACAGACCTGGGAGACAAACGCATAGAAATGCTACATGGCCAACGGAAAAGGGCGGACACCAGGGCGGACACCAGCAGTGACAGACCTGGGAGGCAAATGGATAAAAATGCTACATGGCCAGCGGAAAAGTTCGGACACCAGCAGTGACAGACCTGGGAGACAAATTATGCCGGCGTAGACCCCACATAGCACTTCAAGAAAAGTTGGACACTATGGCAAGAGTGGGTGACAAGCTTGGGAGACATCCCACTCAAAGCCGGGAAAAGGATGTAAAAGGTAAACAAGACAAAAAAAAAATAACATCTTATAACAGCACCCGCGTCAAAGGCAGGCAAGAAAATGACAAGGCGGAAGCGGCAGCCAAGAGCGAAATCAGGAACAGAGACAAGCTTGGGAAACACGGCGGCAGCGGCAGCCAAGAGCGAAATCATGAAGGGAGACAAGCTTGGGAGACAAGCCGGCAGCGGCAGCCAA